TGCGTGCGTGGGTGTGCGCGTGCGTGCGTGTTTGCGTGCGTGCATGCGTGCTTGCGTGGATGCGTGCGTGCGTGCGTGCGTGTGTCTCTGAGTGAGTGTGTGTGTATGTGTGGTATGGAGCGACTACATACGTAGCCACGCGGGTTTTGACCCAGCCGGGTTAGAGGTGTGCCGGCTAGCCGGATGTCCAACCCTGTAAGCCCTTGTGATGCCGTCTCGGCAACAAAACCCACCAGTTTTCCGCTCGCAAGCCGCTTTGCGGGTGTGAACTTCGCGGGGTCGATTATGTCACAGCGTAATAATCCGCCACCGCTGCTGCTGCTGCTGTCGACGTGGCTAGCAGCTCCTTCCTGCGATGATAGCACTCTTGTCTAATCCCATTGATAAATCTGTTGGGCGGCGCTCACATGGCAGTTAAAACGAATTCGTTTCCTCGGAGACAAGCGTAGTGGTACCATGAAGCTTGGGACATTTGGCTGTTTGTATCTGCGCGTGCATACCTGAGCGCTTGGCACATAACTTTACGAGCTTCTTTTGATATGGCGAGCATATCATCCATAATATCAGACGAAACGTGTGAACTAACACTTGTTAGACGTCATTCACTTCTAAGTTCATGTTTAACGGCGTATCTACTATTTAGAGTTAAATATGTTAGTTTCAGTTTGGATATACTGGTTCCATACCCCCATAAACCTATATGAACAATAAAACTGCACTCGCGAATTCATTCATAATTTTGTATGGTACATTAATGAATTCAATCTATTTTTTCCCAGACTATCATTCATAAATTTTACTAGTAATATGACCACGCACCCACCAACTGCGCTCGTCCATTGTCGTCATCACAGCGTGCAATAAGTAACGCAGGACGATTATGTATCATATGATAATAGTAGGAGAGGAATTTGCGCTTAAAACCGTAAGATTTAGTTCTCTGGCGTCATGCAACGCGATCAGCGATCATACGATTAATAAATTATCATCGAACTGCAGCGAATCAGTATTAGTCGCTGTGAGCACTGAGTATAGTAAGAAAAACATACAGCGAATTCGCCGCCTGGCATTAAAGGAGAAGATTGCTATTAGGAAAAAGAATGAAGGTTGAGAGGCAGAATACGATTCAATAATAGGCAAACTACTCACTATATTTAGCATCATAATTATAGCAATAACAATCCATGTTGTCCGTTTTGACCATGATTATCATACTTAATGCGTGAATCCAGAGCATGAGCGTAAATGGCTATAGTTATTTGCAACAGTGTCAGCGTGCTCCCTCTAGTTAGAGATGCATTTTCGTCGGGATGGCATTATAATGGTAAAACCATTCCCCATGTTCTCTCTCTCTCTCTCTCTCTCTCTCTCTCTCTCTCTCTCTCTCTCTCT